CTGTCCTTTCCAATATTTATATTCATTTCTTTTCCTTATATAAAAGCACTGGCTAGTAACCTCCAAGCAATGGCAAATAAGAGCAGTGAGAATGAGCAAGCATGTCACTTGTAACTCAAATGGGACGACATTTAGGAGTTGATGCTGACAGACTGCAGCTCAGGAGTGCACATGCTCACATGTGTGCACTCCCATAGGAATTACGCATTAATGCATTTACATGATAAAATACTCAGGTACGAAAGACACAAAGTACAAACGTGGAAACTGTTTCCCTCTCCTTATCGGTCAGGCGACCCCCCTTAGCTGCTATATGTGAGTGCAGATATACAATGCAGGACAATCTCCCTTTACCTGTAACTCAGTTTTTGTCCTTGTGACTGTGTCCTGTGTCATTCTTGCTAGCGGACACAGGGGCTGGAAGACTGAAGATGACCTAAGGAATATACCTAGGGAAATACCTTTCTGGTATTTATAAATACTCTTGTGATTTGTTTTTAATTCTCCTCTAGTTCCTCTTCTACCCTGACTTTAAAAAACTCTTTCATTGAAGCCATTGATTTTTGAGAAAGAACTTTCAGTTGGGTGGGTAGGGAGGGGGAGAGGATCTGGAAGGATTTGAAGGAGGAGAAGAATATGATCAAAATCTGTTTAAATTTAAAAATTACCTTAAATAGTAAAACTATAATAAAATATATTATTAAACAGAGACTAATATTGGGGTTGTACAAAACAGAAGGAAAAGAGCCCAAGAAAAAGCACAAGAATAGAGACCCACTCATTCGCAGACTCAGGAATCCCATAAAACACAAAACTGGAAGGGATAACACATACACAAAGGCTACCAACTTAAAGTTCTTTCTCAAAAATCAATGGCTTCAATGAAAGAGTTTTTTAAAGTCAGGGTAGAAAGGTTTCTCACTTTCTGCATATTGTCTGGCTGTAGGTCTCTGTATTTGTTCCCATCTGCCTCAGGAGGAAGCCTTTCTGATGATGACTAAGTAAAGCACTCATCTATAAGTATAACAGAGTATTATTTTTTTGTTCCTTTTTTTTTTTTTAATAACAGTAGCACTTGGTTTTACCCTAGGTAGTCTCAAGTGCTTGGTCACGCTAAGCAGTATTGGGTATGCATTCCACCTCAATGAATGAACCTTAAATCAGATTAGATACCAACTGGTTACTCCCCTAGTTTTGTGCCACCAATACCTTGTATCTTTCAGGCAGGATGGAATGTACGTGTGTGTGTGTGTGTGTGTGTGTGTGTGTGTGTGTGTGTGTGTGTGTGTTTGTGTGGCCTTTCTCTCTTGGTAGTGTGCAGAGTATGTTACTATACCAAATATGCTGGAATATACGGACGAAGGCTCTATGTAGGCACCAGCTCGACTTTTCCTTGTTCAATGTATAGCTGTTGCCTTCAGCAATGGGGCCTTGCTGTCAGTTTGTGGAGAACAACTTCAAGTTTTGCAACAGCCTGGGTTGTTTGGGGATTTCCATGGGACCCCCTTTGGCTAACAACTCAATTAGATGTAATCTAATTACCATACCAGAAGCTTCATTTGTTGACACAAGATAGCCAGTTGGGGCTTTGATTCTCCCATTATTTGGCAACGTCATCTAGAGTGCCTTCATATACGTATGCATTTTAGGAAGTTTCTACTGTGTTAGGTTTCTGTATTACCCCTCAAATGGCCCTTAACTTTTGTTGTCCCTCCTCATATTCCCTCCTAGCTCATTGGGGGTGGTGCCATGTCTGGGCAGGTGGCCCTGGGTTCTATAAGAAAGCAGGCTGAACAAGTCGTACTCCACGGTCTCTGCATCAGTTCCTGCTCTCAGGTCCTAACTCCCCTCAGTGATGGAGTGCAACCTCAAAGTTTTAGGCTCCTCCCCAAGTTGCTTTCAGTCATGGTGTGAATTGATGAAATAGAAACCTTCAAGAGTAAGGTGGTAACTTTTGTCAAGCAATGTTATGCCAAGAATACGCCACTGGATCACACGGGGTGTCTAAAAGTGGAGCTTGAGGGAGACTTAAAATAACAAATGCATCTGTATTTCCAACAATGAGCTATGCGATTCCCTGGCTCACTGGGCAGGAGCTGAAGGTAAACTGGGAAAGGCAGAGTGTGAGAAAAGTCAAAAAGTTAAGTGATGCCCCCACTCCTTGCCCCTTTAAATAGGGCCTCTAACTACACACGTCTAACTTTTTCCTGATACCCCAAGACGATCACACCAGGACATACAACTTCAGCAAAAGAGACTCTCCTTGGGTCTTTCTGGTAATTTTTAGCATACCTTCCAAAAAGACACTTTAGCATTTTTATAAATGCCCATGTCTTCAAAAAGACACTTTAGCATTTTTATAAATGCCCATGTCTTATGTTACCATCTTTCTGGTCTCTAATCCCACCTTCACAGACCAAAAGACAAATACTACAGAACTTAACTCTAAATAGCTTAAGGGCTTACAGTCATGTCCTACAGAAATAACATGACCTGCATATGTGAGCTATAATGAAGCACTGTTTAAAACAAGAAAGCCCATGTTACTCCCCCAACTTCTTATTTTCATACTGACTGTAGAAATTAGAAGGCACCTGATACTGTTAATGTAAAATTGGCTATTTTCATTCTAATGAAAAGGCAAGCATTTCCATTTTCAAATGGAATTGAAACTAAACACTGCTTCAGCCCTGGCCAATCCTACTTCAACTAATAGAAAATGGTTCCAAATTAGCATAGGGAATAAACTTACAACCAGACACAAGGAAGAATTCCCAGAGGAGAGGTTTATTTAGCAAACTTCTGGAATCAGTAACTGAGTTTATAGTGGTTTGGAAAGGTGAGAAACTCCACCTTAGCATGAGTTAAACCCTGCTGGCCTTGGGCTGTGGGCGCCGAGGAGCAACAGTAGAATGGGGCTCTGGAAAGGACTAGAGATTCACCCACTAGAACCAATGTGTCCCCGACCCTACCATGCCTGCCTTCCCTTCAGGTTAAAAGGAAGAGTCTGCACTTGTCCTCAGCACTCCTGCTCCTAGGTCATCCTCGTGGAGCCGCCCACAGGCACCCAAGAGTGTGCCGAAGGCCGCCCTGGGGCCTCTCACAGCCTCTGCCTGACCTGCACTTCCAGTGCCTCAGACAGTCAAAGAGAGCCTGGTGCCAACGGGCTCTCAGCATTCCCAACTGAAGGCATTCCCAACTGAAGGCATTCCCAACTGAAGGCATTCCCAACTGAAGGCATTCCCAACTGAAGGCATTCCCAACTGAAGGCATTCCCAATCTGAAGGCATTCCCAATCTGAAGGCATTCCCAACCTGAAGGCATTCCCAATCTGAAGGCATTCCCAATCTGAAGGCATTCCCACTGATAAGGTACACAAGAAGAAAAGGCTGAAAATGGGATTGAGAGGGCTAAAGGACTATACACACACACATAATTCATTCACACAAACTCTGCAAACTCTACAGTCACCCATCAGGAATCCAAAGGAACCTAAACAATGTGACTTTATTTTTACTTCCAAAATATCAACTTGAACAGTCAAAGAAAAACAAGCAAGAAGGCAATTCCATCTTGCCCTCTTAAAAAACAATAAAAAACAGACTCATTTGCTTTTAAAGAAAAGCACACACACACAATCAAAATAGCTGTGCTACTATGCTAGCCTTTGTTTAAGTTTCTATAATTTTAAACACATTTTCATAGAAATAAATGTGAATCGATACAGGCAATCAAAAGACCTTCCTAATGTAATAAAAATGTAGAATACCTGTTCATCCACTCAGCCCTTTTCTGAGCCCATGCAAGCTGTCAATCACTCTTACATCAAATTAAGCATGTCTTCAAAGATTCCTGTTGTATCAAAGCTTTGAAACAGATACACCCCAATCCCAGAGGTGTTTGTACCAGTGTCCATGCCCTGCACACCAAACCCAGCTGCAACTATGAAAGGAGAATTCACCAGAAGTACAGGGGTACTTCACAAAGCCTCTACACTCAAGTGAAAACTAGGAGTTGGGACTGTTTCCTTGCAAACATTCCCCCCCGCCATGCCCAAAATAAAGATGTTCTACTCTCAGTGCATACCAGAAAAGCCCAGGAGAAAATGGTCCCCCTGGGTCAGTCTCTGCGGTAAGAGGGGCAACACTCTCATTAGAGCAAACGGAAAAGGGAAATTCTAAATTTTATACTCAAAGTTGGAAAAAAGAGTTATGGCCAAAGTCCTGTGGACGTGGAGTTCTGTGGAGGGCCATAGGGTTGTTAATGTAATTCAGGAGCCCCAACCTGGATTTTATGGTCAGCAAATATCAGTCTAGAACCAACCCCACGACAGGAAGGGGGGAGGGATACTGTGCCAGTCAAGGTGAGTGTGCTAAAGTCCAACAGTCAAGTGGAAAAGGCCTAAACTACGGCAAGGAAGGTGATAGGTCAAAAGCCTACAGCCAGCACTCTCTCTCCATTCTTCCTCTCCCCGCTGGCAGTACGGGCAGGGACCACAAGGCAGCCACTGTGCTGTCCAACCAGGCTCAGTAAACTGCAAGGAGGTAGCTCAATCTCGTACGACATCTTAAACAAGGCAAACAGTTTCTGCCAGAAGATCTTTCAAAATAGAGACACTCAATGCAAGGAAATCCCACTGCACCACGATGAAGTTCAAAGCAGCAAAGCTTATTTTAACTTCCACACTTAAACCAAGTGATTAGCCATTATTGGGACTCTAACTAGGTTTCTTAGCAATCCGAAGGCTTGTTCCCAAGTGTATTTCATCTTTTCAGTTCCCTTCCAGTGCTCTGAATTCTTGGGCTTAGCTGCTGGCTATAAATGGGATATTTAGTGATTGGCTCCAACTACATCCCTTTCCTCAGCTCTGCCTCTATGTCCCCCACCCCACCCCACCCCCACACAATTTGAAAGTCCATGTTTTAAGAGCCTATAATCTCCTCTAAGATGCCTCTTACTTTCCTAAGGATCGGTTTTTCATGACACAGGTCATTACCTACCTGCGTATTCATAAAACCACTCCAGGCACCGCTTACTGGAGAAGGCCTCTTCTTCAGTCTTTATTCTAGTTGACTCATATTTCCTGTACATGCTACAAAGTGAAAAAGCAGTTTTATGTTACTTAAGACACCGAGTTCAGGTACTTTTCACTTTGGCATAAACCAGACTCTGTCTACTCAACCGGTGTTTTAAATATATTTTAAAACTTTTACTCCCTGCATTTTCAAGCACAAGCATTTTCATAACTAGTGCTGAAATACAGCCATATCTTAATAAATAAACAGTAAGGAATTCCAACTATCTTATGGACATCAGTAAGAATGAAATATATTAGTTACTTGATAAACTTGCCTCACTATCTAGAAAGATTCTAAGTAAAACCTGTCAAGAAATAAGGCATTCATGATGACCCTTACAAAAACACTAACTACTCCTGTCTATTAAATTCTTCTGACTTCTCTGTCATGAAAGTCGGGTTAAACCCAGGCACAGGCTAAGGAGGACTTTCTAATTATTAAGTTAGGCCAGAAAACATTGAGCAAATAAAGAGAAATGTCAACTCATGTCCAAGCTTCCAGAACAAAACTAATCTAGGTGCGAGGCTGAAAAAGTCTCTTGGGAGAGAGAGCAGCTCCCTGGCTCCTGGTGCTCCATCCTAAGCTGCTGGACGGCCTGAGCTGGAGACTTGATTTCGAGGCAGAATAGCCTCCTGCAATTCAGAAGTCCCTCATCTTGTCACAGGCCTGAGGGAGGTTTCTCACATGGAACAGACAGGGGCAGGAGCTTCAAATGTGACTTGCTAGAGAACGTGTATATATTTTAACTCATCACACACATCCAGGTGCATTAATATTCATGAATATAATTTTATTTGTATAGTAATATAAAGATCAAAGACAATCCTCTATTTTAGTAAATGGATTCATGAGCATTTACTTGTGACCTAGACAATAACTGATTACGGGGTGCAGACTTCTGATAGAAATTCTGGCAGCTATCATTGCTAGAACACCATACTGGAAGGTATTAAGTTATTGAAACTACAAGTCCCAAGTTTTCCTTCTCCTACATAAATGCAGTGGATGGTAGCCAAGGGTTCAAAGAGGTTGAGCATTCCTATCTTAGCTCCAAGCCTGTAGCTCTTCAATAAACTTGTAGCTCTCCCATATGGCAGCACAAGGGAAGAATTCCCTAAGAGTAAAACTTGCCTAAGACCATACAAAGGAAAAATCATGCAGCAGCTAAAAGAAACAAAATACTGGTGCACATTATCATACAGATGAGCCTCAAAAGCATCACGCTAACTATAAGGAGTAAAACACAGACGACCATTTAGACAAGATGCCGTAAAGGCGAATCCATGGCAGCACAGAGTACAAGAGTAGTTGCCCGGAGCTGGGAGTGACTGGCTGGGACGGCGAGAATGTTCCAACACTGGATTGCAGTGAGAGCTTATCCCACTCAAAAAACGAACCAAGTTATATACTTAAAATGGTATGTAGATAAAGCTATTAAAAGGCCAAGAATCAAACTCAAAAACTTCACCTGAACTGCCAGCTTCTAAGCTGGATTTTTCATAGTCCATTAGTATCATACCAAGTTATACTGCAAAAAAAAAAAAGCAATATAGAATGCCATAGGAGTGTTGGAATTCATCCGTTCACTGATGCAACGTACTTAGCTTCATAAAATTGAAAACCACTGGCCAGAAGACAACTGGTGATTATCATATAAATCACTCTCTCCTAAATAACATTTTCTGCTGCAATATTAACTGGCATTACTTTCATTTTTGCTGTCTGTCTCTGCTCCTCCAACTGAGTTAACAAATGAAGCATCGCAGCCAAGAAAGAAACAAAAGTCATCTAAGTCCCTCCATTTAAAGACAGAATGCTGCCCACTGATGAAATGACCCACACAGTGAGAATGAGGAAAAATTGAAAAAAAAAAAAGGAGACTATACACTTGTCATGTGATTAAAGAAAAAGTTACTTATTAAGATCAAGGCAAAACAATAATGATATCTAAGAAAAACATTTACCAGTCCTTTGGCATCACCATAATTAACATGTGACTTGTCTGGATGTGATTTAAGTTGCCTTGTTTTTCCATTTTCTAATTAAATGTTCAGCAATATGAGAAGAAACTTGGACTGGCTGATACTCTGAATGGGTAAGGACACTCAGAACAGCTGCTGCGCTATGGTCCTGTGTGTGCAGCTTGTGAGACCCTCTCCAAAGGACAGACACTCATTCTGATAGGCTTTCCCAGGCTCTACCAGCCAGGTATCAATAGAAAGCTGATGCCATTTCAGTTGCAGAGAATCAACTGATTAAGAAAAAACTAAAGGTCACGCCTTTAATCCCATTACTTGGGATACAAAGGCAGGCGAATCTTTGTGAGTTCGAGGATGGCCTGGTCTTTAGATCAAGTTTCAGGACAGCCAGGGTTACACAGAGAAACCCTGTCTCAAAACACCAAAAGGATAAAGCTAATTTCTAAAGGCTCAAATTGCCTATTTTCTTTTAAGTTCTACAAAGCAAGACATACAGTAAGCATCATTAAATAATTACACTTGGAAGTGTCACCCACAGAAACATAGAATATTTCTGCCAGCACTTGCATTCAATGAAGCCCCTCACTGCAGGAGGCAGACCTGCACACCTTGAAGAGAGTGCCCCTGACCTGGGTTGATGGCCTCTGCACTCTACCTGTCATGCCTGCTTTTCTTGGCAGATAGGTCATCTCCAGAGGCAGGTCTTCTCTTTTTCCTTGGTGGCATCACTTTACTAAAGCAGTCTGAAGAACTGCAGGACCGCAGGCTTCCTACGGAACAAACCCGGACAACACAAAAATAAGGCACAGCCACACTGACTTCCAAACAGTGAGTGTCACTGCTAAATAACTAACCCCGGCCTGCCTCCCCCGTAAAGTGGTTAGATGTTATCAGTCAACACCATTACAGAGAGAAAATGAGTTTTAGTTCCTCTATGAGGGAATGTTATATCAAGAAATAAAACTTGCCAGTACATGAGTGAATACTCCCCGCCACCCCAAATCGCAACAGAAACAGAAGTGAGCTTTACTGGGAAGATCATGCTCACAGGGATCACTGAGATGCCCTGCTTCTCACATGTCAACACTCCTTCAAGACAAACTGTCTTGCCATCACACATACTTACTTCATGAGGCAAGCAGACTAACCAGTAACCCTGCCTGAATATACACATGCACACTAGTCGTAACACAAGTTCCAGGGGTGTTGCTGAGGGGGGGCGGGGAGCAGGACTGGGAGGGTGAGCAGAAATCTGACTTCAAAACAGAAGTTTCACAGTAACTGTTCCTTGTTTCTGCCACTTGCAAATGACTGCTACCTCCAGACAGGACTTCAGGAAGTATAACAGTAACTCAGAAAAGGATACGAAATTCAATACCACCGCAGATACGCATAGATATGTATATATGTATACACACACACACACACACACACACACACACAACACAAACACACGTATGCTGCTGCAGGTCACGTTTTTAACCCTTGCATACACTCACTCAGTTAAGCTAATGAAAAGGAATACGAAGACAGGCCCCACTGCCTCACCAGAGAAGGAAGGATCCAAATCTGGGCAGTCTCACTGCAGTCTGTCTTAAACCATAATTAGAAGATATTAAATAGCCCATTTGGCCTCGCAGACATGCCATTTAGTCTCACAAGAACCCGGCACATGATAGGCAACGGCAATTCTCTACATAAGAGCTGGGAGGAACCATGGCTCAGACACTGAGTGACTTCCCAAGGTCTCCAAAATGACTGTACATCATTCCTCCATCCCACCTTCCTCAACCCACAGTTGAAAGGTTGTGGACAGCCATGCTGGAAGCATGCTAGGCTATGGCAATCCGCATTCAATGGATACTCAGCTCTTCAGCTAACACTGTATAGTCTGGGCAACTGCTAACCTATTTTAGGCCTCTTATTCATTCATCATTTGAAGAATGGGAAAAGTTCTCTCTCTTTTGCCCTCTCACAATTTTCTTGAGAATACACATTCACTCAACAAACACTTGATGACACACTCTGTAGGTGTGTGCAGCTGAAAGAAACTGGTGGTCAGTGGCAAAGCCAAGCTCTCAATCACTGTCAACCTCAAACTCTATAACCCATAGCCCTAGGAAGTATAGCCATTCAAGGGACTGAGAAAGGAAGGTGCCGACCTCTATGATGTCCCAGAAGTCAGAGGAGAGTCTGGGGTGGGGGGAGTGGCTCTGTGGCCCTACAGAGGCCACTGAGCAAGGAACAAAGGCTCAAGCTACATTTGGTAAAGAGCTAGGATGACGAATGGAGGTCAGGTCACAGTCAACAGGGAGGCCTGAGAGCCAAGGCAAGAGTGGTCAGTAGCCAGTCACAACTGCTAAGAGCAATGGTGAGCTGGAGCCAAATCCCAGGTCACTGTTAGGCTTCTCCCAGTCTGCTACACTTCCTAGATGACATGTTTTCAGGGTCTCCCAAATGGACTCATGCCCAGAGCCCGGACTGGACAGCTAGACAGTCCCTGGGCGTCAGAGCTTGCTTACTCCCTCAGTCTAGAACCTGATATCCAGCAGGCTTAGGCAGATCACACCTAGTAACCTTGCCTGGAGTCTAACTGTCCGGAAGGTTCCTCAGAGACACAAGCTCTCTCTACCTCTCACAACAGCAGCTGAGGAGAGGAAAAGAGCCCAGGGGAAGGGGAGTGCCTACCACCCCCCCACACTCATTCACCCTCCCTACAGAGAAGTGTCCTGGTCACAAACCACACAGTGTACTCAAACGTTTAAACACTGTAGCAACCTAAGCCCTGGTCACAAACCACACCACAGTGTACCCAAAGGTTTAAACACTGTAGCAGCCTAGGCACCTGTACACGATCAGCACAGAAGACAACATTATCCTTGCTCACGGATGCCTCAGGAAGGCCCACAGAAGGAAAATGTTGGTGTTTCCTGGTCACAGAGCCTGAAACAGTGTCCAGAATGGGCAGCATGTCTGCCACTGCAAGCAGGCTTCCACCACCCTAGATACGGACACACCAAAGGGACAGACAGTTCCTTCCAGGAGCATCTGGTCTGGCAGCAGCCTTTCCCTCCCATGATATTTACAGAACACAGGAAAATGCACTTATCTCCTCGGTCCACAAGAAATGAGCACTTGAAAATAATGTCTCCTCCAATAAAACATAATTCACTAGCTCCTTTAGTGCCGGCTTCTTTAGAAACAGCAGCGCAACGTTGCCTTTCACTGATCCTACTCACCAACAGTCCTGCATCTTGGGTAAACACACAAACACCTTAAGTAGACTAACTTTCTTACCAAGGAATGTTTTCTACTGAAAGTTTCACGTGGCAGCATGTATCTCATATCTGTGTAGATCGTACTCATATTCTCAAGTTTGTAGTCTTACTTAAAACATTTCTCTCCTAGCTAAGAGACTTGACTTTCATTTTTCCATGTCTCTGCTCTGAGTATCGGCATAGTAACTGTTACCAGCCATTTTCCACAGATAAACCACGTCTATTCATCTCTCTGAGAACTACAACTCTGCCCCTGCATAGCTTGATCCAGACCCACAAAGAACTCTCCAGGTTACAAGAAAAGCAAGGTTTTGCACATTTTCTTAACAGAACAATTTCCCAACAAGACCTGAGTCTACAACATACACAGGTTCTGCTGCACACCTGCTTCCGGTCTCCTCTGCTCCTTCGCTTGCTTCTCTTCCAGTAGATCACAACCAAGAGAACCTGCGAGGACATTCTAAAGTGCACATACATGTGTGCATCTTGGGGAGGAGTGGTCAATGCCTGTAATCACAACACTCACGAGGCTATGACAGAAAGGTTGCAAGTTCAAGACCAATACTGGCTACCTAAGTGAATTCAAAGCTAATCTGAGTTAAAAATCAAGACAACAACAATAGAGGTAAGACTCGCATCTGTAGTTCCTGTTCGGTTACCCTGATTTCACTGGCTCCTGACTACAGCTGGGGAACCTGCATAGGACCAAACTAGGCCCTCTGAATGTGGGTGACAGTTGTGTGTCCTGGGCAGTCTGTGGGGTCACTGGCAGTGGGACCAGGATTTATCCCTAGTGCTTGAACTGGCTTTTTGGAGCCCATTCTCTTTGGAGGGATACCTTGTTCAGTCTAGATATAGGGGGAGGGCCTTGGTCCTGCCTCAAAGAGATGTGCTAGGCTTCATTGACTCCCCATAGGAAACCTTACCATCTGTGCAGACAGGGGGAAGGAAGAAAGTGTGTGTGGGGGGGGACAGGGGAGGGAGTGGGAACTGGTATTGCTATGTAAAATAAGAAAAAGTTGTTTTAAAATTTAAAAAAATGATTTAAAAGATACAGGAAAGGAAAAATATATAAGGAAAAGGAAAGGAAAAAGGTGGTTTCCTGTTGGATTCACTTGTATATATACAGCAAATAAAATAATTTATGATAGCAAAAAGATACTTTATTGAGTTCCTTAGACAATTAAGTATTTACTGAATAAATGTCTTCTGAAAACATGCATAAATCAAGCTGCTTAAAATCAGACCATTTCCAGACACCTGAAACACCTACAATTAGATAATGCACCAGTATTTCTGATTTATCTCCCCATTAATCAGCAAAACTGACTTCATGTTTACTGGCAATAGAATGCTTCTTTAAAAAAATACTTAAATCTAAATGAGTGTTCTATAAATTTTTATTCATTTATCTCAATAAAGTTAGGCTCCAAAGCTTACATACTTCACCTCAATTTATATCTTTACAGACAAAAACAAGTAGATAAAAAAAATCAAGAACTCCTCTGCACCTGTTTGCTTCAGGAAATGAGTTACAACCCACCTGACATTTTAGGTGGAGGGGTTCAAGGTCACAGCTTTACCACACTCACAGTCACAGAGCACTTCTCTTCCGTACAGCATAGACTCAGGATCTCAAACAAGCCAGGCAATGCTCTGCTGCTGACCAGGGCCCCAGACCTTGTGCTTTCTAAGACAGGGTCTTACTATATGGCTCAGGCTGGCCTTGAATTCCTGATTAGGTCAGGCCCACCTTGAATCCTGGATCCTTCTGCCTCAGCCTCCAGAATGCTGAGACTACAGACACAAGTTTCTTCTAAATGGTATGGTATTAAAATAATCATTAAAGAGATAATGAAAACCAGCAAGACAGTACATTCCAGTAAAGGGATTTGTCATGAAAACTTGACAACCTGAGTCTGATTCCATAGAAAGAATCCACATAAAGGTGGAAGGAAATTTCAAACCTATTCCAGGAAGTTCTCTGGCCTCCACACATACACCTAACACACACACACACACACACACACACACACACACACACATCAAACCACACACAAACACACACCCCAAACACACAAAACCCAATTGTATATAAAGGTTTTTATCTAAAAGTTCAGATTTCATCTTGGGGGATTTAGTATTTCAAGAGAACAAATTATACTTTATCTTTTCAATAAGTCAACTAATATAGTCTTCCTTCCCATATTAATCAGTTTTAATATCGCTGACATTTTTCAATAGGTCTATTTTAGTATTGTCCCAGAAAGTCAAGTTTTAATGGCAACTTGAGGTCACCTGGATAGTCCCCTCACCTTGCTGTTTTCCTATCAGTTTGACTTGGCATGCTATTCTGAACTGATGCCTGAGCAGACCCTTCTGTCTTCCAGCGATCATCTTACTTGATTGGCCTCAGCAAGAGTCCCTGTTAGAGTTAATCTCTCACAAGATTAGGCAACTCCTGTGCCCAGTTACCAGTCATCCCCAAACAGGAGGGAAAGGCTGCTTCTGACTTGTCAAACTTAACCACATGTTCAGAATGCACACCTCTGACTTGTCCGTTCTGGTGAGCCTGCTGTCCCAGGACACTGTCTCATTTCATAACACTTCTCCCAGCTCTTTCTGCCCCGCCAGATGTTTTCATGAAACCTGCTGCACTGCTCACTCAGCGCCAGAGATTTCACAGTTTCATATAAATGCACAGTGTGCTTAGACATCCCACCAGCACCTAGGGTTGTATTCATTTTCTTGAACTCATTGGTGAATTACCTGTTCAAGCAAAACTAATAATTTTTAAGAACAAACTTTTCCTACTATTTAAGACAAAGAAATTCCTTTTCTTTTGCCTCTAAGTACCACTGACTGTGGCATGTATGATTATTTTCCTGTCCACCTCCCTGCTGTGTTTTCAGTTCTGTTTTGGAGCTACTTTCCCCCATCCTCATCTCCCTATCTCCCTTGTGAAGATCAGAAGCACAAGGCAGGACATGAGATGCCCCTCCTTCTGGCAGGGTCTGGGCTCTTCCACTCACGATGATTATGGATGGTGCTCAAACTCCTGCTGCACCAAGACAGTCAAAGAAACCCCACACTTGCTCACACCTCCAAGCCCCACTCTTTCCACTGTCTGACTTTTACACTGTATGCTGCAGAGTGGGACACAGCAGATGCCACAGCCAGATGTGGGACCGTGGTGACAGACTAGTAACAAGCCCTGGTCTGGGAAGACAGCTCAATGGGTAAAGTGCTTGTCCTACAAATATGAGGACCTGATTTTGGATCCCCAACACCCACATAAAAAGATGAGCACGGTGGCATATGCCTGTAACCTTGGCCACAAGGGAATAGACAAAGACAGCAGATCTGGGCACTTGCTGGCCAACCAAGTCTAGCCACAACCAATGAGATCAAGGTTCAGTGAGACACCCTGTTTTAAAAAATAGGGAGAAACTATTTATCAGTAAGCCAGGTGGTGGTGGTGCACGCCTTTAGTCCCAGCACTCGGGAGGGAGAGGCAGTTGGATCTCTGTGAGTTCCAGGACAGCCTCCAAAGCTACAGAGAAACCCTGTCTTGAAAAAAAAAAAAAAAAAAAAAGGAGAAGCAAATGAAGATATATTGATGTTAATCTCTGATCCCTCCATGCACAGCCAACACAGCGCACCTTGTATTCATCTGTGCACATATATATACTATATACACACACTATGAGCATACACACATAATCACTTATATAATACTCCATTACATACTCCATAAGCGCATACACACACACCATGTGCACACATGTCCACACACATCACACACACATGAGTACACATACACACCATGATCACCAATCAACACTGTCCAGGTAATCAGACACAGCTGGGGACCAAAGGGCAGACAGGTGGCCAGGGCCAAACATACTTTATCGCCTTCCTCAATTAAAACTTAGTTATATTGCCATTTTTAAGTTAAACATTTAGACATGAAATTACTATAGTAACAATTACTCATTTAAATCTGAACTCCAAAATTAACTATATAATATTCATAAGTCAGAAATAAGGTGTTGTTACCATAGCTAAGACAATACAAAATCTTATTTTAAAAACTAAAACTACATCACCAACTGTGAGGCTAAAAAATAAAATCTTCATGATCACCAACAGTTTCAAGTAGAGAGCTGTGTTTTTCTCCTTAATTATTAACTTGACTCTGGAGATATTACTGAGTGGCCACGTAGAACTGTGGTAATTTTTCTATTTTACAATGCGTTCTAACAATTTTTGCCACAAATCTTGTAGCTGTAGATAAAATGTATTCTCATGAACTTTAGAGTCATATATGGTTTAGAGAAGTGTTTCTCAGGGTGTGGTCCCCTGCATCATGGCCTGGGTGCCGCAGATGGGTGAACACCAAAGCCATACCCCAAACTTACACAAGAAGTTTAAGTAAGGAAATCATAATGCTGCTTGAATCTTGAAGACCATGGGTCTAGAGCACAACTTCAAGAACCAAGTGTCCACTTTCCCACTCGGGAACCCTCAGTGTTAGGTCTCAAACCCTGAGCAAAAGGCTAACTGAGGTGCCTGTTATTGCACCAAGGCTGGTCCCCAGGTTCTCCCAGCATCCCTCAGTCCCTACCTGTCACAGAGTGCTCCTGGCTGTCATACCCCATCCCCAAACGCCTCCAGCCCTGAGACTGGGTTGGGCTATCATTCCCTCAACTGCACTTTCCTTGATAACCTCCCTTGTTTGGACTCTGCTCCCTTCTCTCTTGTCATGGCCCAGTTGAGCTGAATGGTCATGTCCACTCTGGACCCTTCCAGATGCCTCTGTCTAAGCTCTCCCGCTTATCTACAATAAACCTTCTCTTCCACTATACCTAGGAGCAGTCATATCCTCCTTTTCTTTTCTTCATTCACTCAGGACCTCCACAGGACAAACACCTTCCCACCTCTCAGACCACTCTACTGTGAAATGAAGGAGGCCTTCGGGCTGCGTTACCAGCACCTCTCAGCACGAGCTGAGACACTTAGGTAAGATACAGGACTGCTCCTGAAACCAACTAGAGCATCTTCAGGCCCTCTGAGGAAATCACAACCCAGAGCTTCCGGATAGAGTCCCTGCTGGGAAGGCAGTGTACCATGACAGCCTTTTCACCCTGGTCCTCAACAGTGACAACTTGTTACCTCAGGCCACCACTTCCCTCTCAGTGACACCTCAGCATGCTTACTTAAAAGTCAGTGGTGTTCCCATTTACCTGTTTGGTGATCGTCTTGGCCAACGTCTTCTGTCAGATTCTGTAAGAAATACGATCGTTAACACCAAGAAACCGAATACCCTACAGCAAGCGCTAACACTTGGTATTTTCATATGCAACTGATAGGCACAGCGTAAATTCTTTTATCAAATGCACGTGCACAAAGGGGCTGCTTCGAAGCAGCAACTGTATCTTTAAAGACTGACTTACTAGCTTGTTAAGGGTATGGTAGATCTTATGAATGTTTGCCAGTGTTGAGAGATGAGAGTTCAGCTGAAAGTCTTTAAAAGAAAAGGGAAAAAAGAAATCAGTATTAGCTGGTTCTCGGACAGTAAGAAATGTCAAAAGCTCAAAAGTAAATGTAAATAGTTGTTTCCGTGCTTCAACTGACAGGATACTTACAAGTAAACAACAACATGCAACTACTGACTCAGCCCCCACAAAGAAGTTCTGACCCTAAGTCCAACTTCCAGCCAAAAGCTGAAAGTCATGCGAGTTCCTCATGCCAACTCGAAGGTGAAAACAAACTACTGCAGTGGTGGCGAGATCCTGCCAGCCCAACCTGCGTTCCCCGGAAGCCAGAGATAATGTGCGGGACTCAAGCGAGCCACGCAAACAGAAGATGGCTCAGATCCCACAGGAAATGGGCTCGCTTCCCCATCGCTCCCCAGAATTTTGGTATGATAAGCACACGCCCCGCCGGAAAATGACAGAATGGTGTCCCCATATTCGGCACTTTATAGCCTTACAGTGCATTTCTTCCGTGGTTGATTATACAGTACTATCCCGGGAATCTAGAGCCCTCCACCTCCCCTTAAACACACGGATAAAGAACTGTCACTCCCAGAGCACAGGTAGTATGCAGTTACCTGCAGGCCCTGCAACAGTGGAGAACGCAACAGACTCAAATGCCGCACTCCTGAGGAAGCAGGCCCCTGTAGACAAGCATCCATGTGCTACCTCTAACTGTGTCAGGACTGCATGCTACGTCAGGCATGAGACACTCCAGAGGCCTCTCCATGCCAGAACCTTGCACAGTACAACTGCAGTACACTAGCAGGCTTTGGAATGTCCCACCTCAAATGTCTTTATAGGCAAGGATATAGCTCAGTGGTAGTCCTAATGGAGCATGGATGAAGCCCCAGGTCAATCCCTAGCACCACACATGCACAGACAAGATGGTATAAAGTATGTCCACATGCATATATGAGGACTATACAAAGGAGCTGAAAGGTTACTATTAATTTGATATCTGAGAAAGTGTCAATAATTATTTTTGTAAACTACAGGATTTACACTAATCCTATTTCTTTCCTATCACAAGTGTTAGACTAAAAGACAGTCTCGGAGTCACACCGTTCTGTGTCACTTCACTGTTATCACTGGGGACAGGCACCAGATGTAGAGTGCACCCCCAGGGGTCAGATACGACCCTGTGAGCTGTCTTCTGGGCTGAACACGCTGGACTTCCATCTGTCAAACAGGCTCACTTGCCCTAGGAAGCCATTCATGGGCAGCCCTGCAGGGCTGGGAGTCAGGCAACAAGATGTCCCTGACTTTCACAGGTGGGAACAGATGACACACACTTGCGTGGCTCTATCTGCCATCTAGAACCTCTAAAGAGACCTTAAAGAGGGAGGGGCATGGCATGTTCAAGACCCAATCTTAGAACCACAAACAAACAAAAGCTAAGACCCCTGGTAATTGTTTGAATCCAAATAATCTAGTCACTAGTAAAAGGCACAGGATCAATCCAGACGATCCATTTAGCACACCAAAGCAGCAAAGGCTCCAAAAGGCATACAGGGTGAGAATGTACATATGTGCATGTATGTGCCCAGTATACATACCTACTCATGTTTATACTAACTAAAATGGACAGTGTCTCCAAGTCAGAAACACCTGGCCTACAAAAGGCTGTGGGGAGCTAAAGTACACAACTCCCACGCCCTTCTGGAAAACCACAACCATCTCGGGATTCTGTTTAGAAACAGGAAAACAGGCCAATACATTCCATTATCACTTTGCTCCCAACCCCCACCCGAGAAGCCAAAGCTGAGACCATGGATTGTCTTGCCACTGAGGACAACAGAAAGGACGTTTCAAAGGCCAGCACACAAGTTGCAACGCGTGTGTCACCATGACCACCATATGTCACTTCACTGGACTGCTGTTCAGGCCATGCCAGACTTTACATAAGAGTGCCTACACAAACTAAGTTTATTCAACCTCCCTTTCGTCCGGTGTTGGTGGCCACGCCTTTAATCCCAGCACTTGGGGAGGCAGAGGCAGGCGGATCTCTGTGAGTTCCAGGTCAGCCTGGTCTACAGAGCGAGTTCCAGGACAGGCTCCAAAGCCACAGAGAAACCCTGTCTCGGGGAAAAAACAAAAAACAAAAAAAAAAAGTGTAGCCAAAGACATACATAGTGGCGGTGGCAGGAAATCTCCATACCCTGGGAAAGACACAGAAATGTTTACAATTACATTCTACATAAGTGTTTCACTTCACTAAAGGCGATAAAAGGGTCCATTTCACAAGTCACAGACTATGTCAATTATCCATTTCCATACCCAATTCCTACTACAACCACCAGGTTGTCACAGCACAGACAAAACCAATAATATGAATATTCCTTTAGTCTCATACATAAGTTAAGAGGACATGAATTTGGCAGGAAAAAATAACAATAAAAGATAAATTCACAAAGGTTAACAGATACTGGATTTATGGTTTAACTGTTCCACGCTCAGGGCAAGTAATAGACCTTGAAATCTAAAATAGATTTCACATCCTTAAGGCAAAGATGTCAGGGTAAAGATCAAACGCTTTACAGGGAATAAATCCAGGAAAGCACTAACAGATTCATAAAAATCTCTGGCTCATCTTTCAATTCCAAAGGATAAATGCAAGGTTAAGTCAACTGTACTCCATGATCCAAATGCTTTCCACAGTGAACAGTGGTGGTCTCCCTGCAGGTGACGGGCACCCCTCTATAGTCCACATTAAGGCCACAATCTGCTCTGCACAGCACAGCCTGCCTGATAAAAAGCTCACCTAAATTACCTTCTGGGTATTTTCAAAACCACCAACAAACGCTGACTGAGTATGAAAATGTTTGATTTAATTACTGTTTTCTGTGATCTGTACAAGATGAAAGAGAAGGGGGGGCTCAGACCGCTCCACTAAACCACTGTAGGTATAGAACTCTACAACATATTGCCGACACGTGAGTACTAGGCATCAAATGAGTTGGGGTAAGTTCAGACATGACCATCAGTCACACAGCAATTTAATTTCTAATAGTTTAAAACATCTGTAAGGATCAGAAACAATTTAAATGCACAATAAACAAAATCCTTAATTTCTACCATAATGCCGATTGTAAAATATAATTGAGAGATCTCAATTATATTAGCATCAAAAAGCAATAAAACACATAGGAATAAACTTCAAAATGTGAAATCGAATTGCAGAAACAGTCAAGTTTAGTGAAAGACGTAATTGTAGAGATGGTTATTTCTGGAAGGGAAAATGCCAACATTATGAAGCAATGGCTTATCCCTTCAGTAAAGTACAAATTAAAAGCAATCAAATTCCTATTCTGCCTGTCCTGCAGTTTTTCACCCACCGCACCCTCCTACCCCCACAGCCACCCCTTACCCCCATGGCTATCCCCTACCCCTGGAAAAAAATACAGTAGGCAAAAGGAAGGGAAGGCTTGGAACCAATTTTGAGACCAAAGAGGCCAGCCCTGCCAAGAAACTACTGAAGTGAACAAGGAAGAACCTTCTCCACTGGTATCAATGTGCAGTCTGGAGCAGAGGCAAAGAAACCGGTGAGAGACAGAACGCATGCATCTGGGGCGTTGTGGGTCCCAGGTCTGTGCTGAACTCTTTGGCCACTGCAGCTCAAATGCAGATAACTAGTACACAAACAAAGAGGTGAGGCTGTTTTCCAATAAAATGGCGTTTGTAAAAACTAGATGGTGGGTAGGACTGGGCCCCTAGGCCACTACCTGCCGCTGCCTGGTGTGAAGATTCAGGAGTTACAACAGTAGGCTGTGCAGGAAGGGAAATGGATAGATTTAAGTCTCTGTATAAACATATGCATATAATTAACACGATAAGAGAGCCGCTCTGCTGGTTTATTTATTTGTCTGTTTTAGACACCAACTCTCTACACAGTCCTGGCTGGCCTGGAGCTTACTATGTAAACCAGACTGGCCTTGAATTCACGGAGATCCTCCTGCCTCTGCCTCCCAAATGCTGGGATTAAAGACGCATGATAATCAATAGAAAGAGGTTGCCTTTCGGGAGGAACAAAGAACAGTCAGAGAGCATGTGGAGCAAACTAAACTTCCACCCCAGCCACAACAGAGAGGGAAGGTGTTCAAGGCCAGAGACAGCAGTTTATCACCGGCCCAGAGGGCTGCACCTGCCTTACCTGCACCTCCTCAAGCTCATCTCCTGACATCCTTTCTGTGAGCGCCCCACACAACTGCACCCCCCCTCTCCTGATGCTCTTTCTGGGAGAGCAACACACGCCACACCCCACACACCTGCACATCCTCAAGCTCATCTTCTGATGTCCTTTCTGTGAGCACAACACACACCTGCACCTCCTCATCTCCTGATGTCCTTTCTGTGAGAGCAACACAAGCCACACCCCACACACCTGCACATCCTCAAGCTCATCTTCTGATGTCCTTTCTGTGAGCACAACACACACCTGCACCTCCTCACCTCCTGATGTCCTTTCTGTGAGAGCAACACACGCCACACCCCACACACCTGCACATCCTCAAGCTCATCTTCTGATGTCCTTTCTGTGAGCACACCACACACCTGCACCTCCTCATCTCCTGATGTCCTTTCTGTGAGAGCAACACACGCCACACCCCACACACCTGCACATCCTCAAGCTCATCTTCTGATGTCCTTTCTGTGAGCACACCACACACCTACAGAGTCTTTGCACATGCTCCCCCTCCCCCTTGAGCTTTCTTCCCACTAAGAACATGCTGTGTTCTTACAAAGTGTGTCATTAAATAACCCTCGTCACAGAACCCTGCACTCTGCTGCGTTTGTGCCACATACCGTGTGCTATAAACTGTCTCACAACTCTCCAGAGGCCGGATCTTGTCCACCGTAGTACTCTGAATACCCACAACACCACCTGCTCATGTGAAGTGCTCAGCAAAGCTGCAAAACAGTCAATGAAGGCACCTATGGAGCTAACGAAATGTTAATATGTCCAGGTGTTTCAAGTCATCTTCAAATGTGACAAGTGCATGAGAAAGGGTAAGTAATGAGCCTGTGAGCCCTGTGTAAGAGTTTAGACTGAGCATCCAAAGACTATGCATTCTCAAACATGCCTGCCAGAGGGCATGCAGATAGAGCAGGTAGAAATGTCATAGCCATCCAGCACTGACCCTACCCAGGGGAAACTTACCTACCACACCTTTACATAAAAGCAAGCATGAGCATGGCACAAAGCTGCACACGGGGCCACCAGGCTCAGGGCAGCTGGCATGTGCACCCACTGTACTGTTACTGCATTAACTGTGCAGGCCAGCTGCTGCTGCGAGCTAGCTCCTTCAGAAAACACACTCATGAGGCCGAAATGAAGTCTTTATTCGCCTTAATGAGGAGATGATCTGCACATTAATCTTTACTAAAATGCGGGGGTGGGGGGAGAGACAACGGGATTACACCAAGATGGCTTGTACTGTGTGGCTCTCCAAGGGTCTTCCTTTTAACTATCTCAAACAGGGTCAGATGGTAGCACTGACCAAGCTGGGAATAAGTGACAATTTGTGGTGGTGTGAAAGAAAATGCCCCTCAAAGGGAGTGGCACTATTAGGACATGTGGCCTTGTCGGAGTAGGTGTTGTCTTGTTCAAGGAAGTGTGTCACTGTGGAGGCGGGCTCTGAAGTCTCATACATGCTCAATTCACGCCCAAAGTCTCAGACTACTTCCTGTTGCCTGCTCCAGCACCATGTCTGCCTACCCACCACTATGCCACACCAAGGTGATAATGGACTAACCTCTGAACTGTAAGCCAGCCCCAATGAAATGCTTTCCTTTATAAGCACTGCCATGGCCATGGTGTCTCTTCACAGCAATAGAAACCCTAAGACAGACTTCTAATAGCTCAAAGCTATTTCTCCAATCCACCTCCTTAAAAGAATTAAGATCACATTCCACAAAAAAAAAGTGCTGCCTTAGCTATCAAGTATACAAATTATTTTAGTATTAAAGAAAAACTATTAAAACTGGCTAATTCTTAAAAAATTCTATCAACTTTTTTAAGGGGAAAAAAATGGACCAGAGCCATAAGAGAACAAAAATCAAAAACATAAAATAGGGGAGGTGTCCCAGTTATCCATCTGCAGACAAGAGATTTGATTGTTTAACTGACTGAGGCAGATAGGTAATAGAGACAACTGACTTACTGATACCAAAAGTGGTTAAAACTCATAAATTCAGTAATGTTCCAGGGTATGAACAACTTGCTAAACATCAAGAACATCACTGTTCAGAAAGAAATGAGGAGAGCAACACCACTTAAAATAGTTAAAAAAAACTAAAAGAAAATCAAGCATCATTTACACTAAAAATTACAAAATCCTGGTGAAAATGGGGAGAACATGAAATAGAAAATTGCCCCTTGTTCATAGACTAGAATATTGCCTATCCATGCTACCAAAGTGGCCACAAGATAAAAAGCAATTCCTATTAAAATATTAACGTCTTTCACAGGAAAAATATTTTTTTAATCTGTGTAGAACTCACAAAAGACTGAATAATTAAAAAAAAAAGCTCCCAAGCAAAAATAGGGGGAAAAAAGCTTGAGGCTTTTTAACCTGACGTTAAAACATGCTGCAAAGTTGGGAGATGGTGGCACATGTTTTTAATCCCAGCACTCAGGAGGCAGAGGCAAGCGGATCTCTGAGTTCTAGGCCACCTAGTCTACAAAGTGAGTTCCAGGGCAGCCAGGGCTACACAGAGAAACCCTGTCTTAAAAGCACAAAAGCATACTACAGAGCAACAGTAAACAAAACCGCATGATACTGGTATTCTTTAGTCATAGAACTTAAGGAATGAATCTGTGTGTGTGTGCATGTGTGTATATGTGTATATATATATATGTGTGTGTGTATATGTATACATATATACATATGTATGTATACACATGCTTGAACACACACACACACACACACACACACACGAAGGGGATTTATTGGAATGATTTACAGGCTGCAGT